CTCCCACCTCCGCGCGCTCCGCGCTCTTCCTCCCCGCAGTCCGTCATCCTCCGGTTACCGGGCTAAAGGGGACAGGCGCCTCCCTCCCGTCCCACGACAGCCCCCGGGCATGTTGTGAGTCAGCAGCATTCCCTGGGCCCGCCCCTCCAGGCCGCAATCACGGGCCTGCGCCCACACCTTCACCCGGGCCATTTAACCCCCGAAACCGGAGGGAGGCGGCGCCCAGCCGGCGTTGACGTTGGTTGCCCGTCCTCAGCTCTCAGGCCGGTAGGTGCTCGAGCAGAGAGCACTCGCCAGAGAACATGGCAGTCTGCAGGGACCTGCGCGCCCCGAGCTCTGGCTGCCCCGATCCACAGAGCGGTCGCAGTTCAGTCCGGTGCTTTGCCTCCAGCGTCCAGGACGCGTGATGGACCCGCTCTGACCCTGACTCACTCTCCCTGAGTCCCCACAGCGCGCCAGCCAGACTGGGCCTCAGAGGGCGGCGCCTTCTGTTCTGTATGTCTGTCCGCCCCGAATAGGAGCTCTCGGAGGGCCAGGCCAGTGTGGGGGATCTTTGCATCCCCCCCAGCACCAAGCACAACGATGCTGCCGTGGGGGGTCATCTCTCAGACCAATAACCCCACCGCACCCCAAAGCCCCATCTATTCCAGCGGCACCAGGACTCCCCCACGAGGCCCCTACCTCCACTTTGTCCGATTCTCTGAGCCGCTCTCTGCACGCCTCTTTCCCCCCAGACGCTTCCCTTCGGTCTGCCATTTCTTTAGACATTTTCCTGAGGTTCCTCGCTGCTCCTAGAGTCTCCGCTCGAGTCACTTGTGGCTGGAACATGAAGTGGCGACCTAGAAGCTAATACCTGTAGCGCATCACATTTTCCTGGATGTGGGGAATGGCGGGTTCCTGGGAGAGAAACGAAGATGCACGTGATAAATGCTGGGTCAGAGGAGAGGGAGGAGCGGAGGATGGGGGCGACTGCCCAGCTGATGTCAGATTTTCAAATGAGCAGGGTCCCCCGCAGCCAGTCCCCAGTCCCGGCTGCACTGCAGGGGCTGTCACAGGCCCGGACCACCCGCTGGAGGGGGAGCCGCCCCGGCTGCTGCTGCTGCGGGC